CTAGGCAAAGTGCAACAGATTGCACTCTGCTGCTCAACATGAGACTAGAAGATGTTGGAGACTGTTACTGAGTGCGAAGTTGGAGCATCTGATGTGAACAGCTCTGTATATTTAAATGAAATGAGCATGCTGGTTGCATGAGATGCAGATTGACTTCAGGGATTTGTGAAGAAGCGCTGTTCAAAGAACAGCTAAAAGGTTATTTCGGGTGTATTTGGCCATTGTAACGATACCGAAGAGGTCGTGCTGTTGTCTTCAGAGGTTGGGTGTTGGTAAATTACACTTAAATTCTCACTCCTTTACAAGTTGCTCAGTTAAACGGTAGACTTTTTCATCCTTAAATTGACTAAAAATTGTGCCACTGAAGAACAGAGTTCTAAGAGCCAAAAATGTTTAGTTGACAGAGGTTGTAAATAACTTTGCATAGTTTAAGTGACTTGTGTCATGTTTTATTCCTTCTGGTTTATGCATAATAGCACACAGTATTTAATCATTAGGAAATGTTATAACAGTTTTCAGACTTAGTAGGTATGAATGTCCAGCTCTTAACTGTCACGTGTTACGTGGAGGTTTGCAGGTAACAGTGGCCTAACCCCCACTTCTATTACGTTAAATAATGTAGCAGAAGGTCACAGGTGGATTGCACTCACTTTCAGAATAAATGATTGTTTTCCATATTTATCCTGTCACTATCACATGAGTTGGTACTGGGGAGACACCCGTTAACGTTGTGTGGATGTGCATTCTTGAGCTCTTAAACATGGCCACGCTGTGCCTCCTGAAGCAGTGCAGTGGGACACCCTGGTTGTGGCAGTGGGAAATGCCGCCCCGGATAGACGCGCTCGGCGTCCCAGACTTCGCAAGGTCTGTGGTGGATGTTGTGTCATTTTCTAGCCATGTGTTAATAATTGCCATTCCGGTTCTGTTTTGAAATGTCGACTTCTTTTCAGTCCTCTGAACGTGTCCATTGTAAAGACTCTACTCTGAATGTGTGGTTTTGGGAATCAGTTTTATATTGTGTAAATAAAGCCTCGAGATCTATGCATGAGGTAGTGGCCTCGCAGGCAGTGAGTGGGTTATTACCTTACACAGTGTATGTTCACCAAGTCCCTTTTTATACCTTAAGTTTGAATTTTCTGGTTTGTGTTCCTTTGTGAGAGCAAGGTGAAAATGCTGCTTCTGGTCCGGTCGCGTTATCCCTATGAAACGGTGGTGTGTTGTAAGTATTGGAAATGTTAAGTCTTTCAGCTGCAGATCATAGCTCCATAAATACCGGCTGTGACTTTAGTTTCCCTTCCCAAATGTTGCTGAGAAGTTCAGTGTGGAGTGTGGGAAAGCTGTTTCTGCAGAGAGAGGGTGTCCTTAAAGAGCTGGATTTGTTACCTTGATCTTGTGTGTGGTGGTACCACCAAAGGGGAAAGCTCAAACACAGTTGTAATTGAAAGGCCCATAACTGTAGGAATTACTAATTTTGGACATGAATCTGTAATGTTTGTATACAGCAAATAATGTAAACGTGAAATATCCACTATTATTGTAGGAGATAAGGGTATCTACCCAGTGAGTATTTTATTTCCTTTAGAAATCAAAATAATTAGGCTGCTCTAGGTAGTAACTGAGGCTTTTGTGCCAAGATTCATTTGAGGGGATAATTTGTGTCACGGTTTTGTAGTCCTAGTTGGTCTATAGTGAATACAACACATGTACAGCAGAAAAATAGTTATTTTTCTGTAACACAATTGAAATAAAGCTTACCTGATATTTAAGTATCACTTTGCTCCCCGAAGATGAGCCCAGTGCTTACACCTTGTCTCCTTCCTGTGAATGATACCTGGATTCGTGTGTACTGTGTAGCTCTAGAACAGGCGGCAGTAACAGGACAACCAGGACAGCATCAGAAGGAGCACACCAGACACTGTGAAGGTTTTGGGGTGTTTTCAGGTGAGATGGGCCAGGAGGGTGTTCCCTGGTTGAAATGAAAGCAAGCACTCCCACGGGGCATCTCGCAGAGCGTAGCTGTGGTGTTAACACATCAGCTGTGCTTAGAGGGCACGAAAGCAGTTCAGTCCCTGAGCAGACTTTTCACTCCAGAGCAGAACTTCTCCTTCCCAAGCCATCGCTTTTTGTGTGTCCATTGTAGGCTTTTACTTTGCCAGTTTCTTTTTGCTCAGGGCAGGACCTAAGATTTGGAAGAAGAGGTGGTTCTGATGGGGGTATCAACTGGCAAATACTGGAGACTTGGTGGGTAGAGCTGGGGGAGCCCTTGTAGCTAAAGACTGAAACTATTTATTTAAAGTAGAATAGCTTTCCTCATGTTCAGGAAAGATGCTTTATTGTGCTCTGCCTGGATTCATTTTTGTCCCTGTTCTTGCAAGTTTCCACATTGGTGTTTCTTAGTGTGGACCCACGGTTTGGTCTGGCAGGTCACTTTTTATTTAAATCACTGGTAAGTGAATGCAACGTGGAGCCTTGATGAAATGAGCAAACATTGCACTGTGGATACATGAATATATTTGTCTTTGTTTATGCACTATTAGAACCGAGGGCGCTGTACATAGAACTTTGCTTTGGAGCAATATTTGCAAAACTTGAAAACTTCTGTATCTTGGTGTTTGGAATAAATAAATAGGTTTTTGTTGGTTAAGTCTTAGTGAAGTCTTTCTTTCAATTAATGATGAGCCAATAAAATCGGGTTTGGACTGTTTTTCACATAGCATTGAAATGTAAATACTGTAGTTCGACAGGAATGGAGATCCTAACTGTTCCTAAAGTATGGGAATGATTGTTTTCCACATCTCAGATATTCTCAGTAGGTAAACTGAGATGTTGGATATTGTTTTAAGTGAAGAGCTTGTACATTTTATTCCCAAATCCTAACACATGTAATACGTTACCCTGGGTGTATAAAACCTGACCTGATTTGTGTGCCCGTTTCAGTGAGCAGCCTGAGGGCTGCACTGAGCACTCAGTGTCAGTGAGAGCAGCAGCTCTCGTAGCTGAGCTCAGTCAGAGAGGACTCACTTCACAACAACCAAGTGTTGCAGGTAGGAGCCAGAACAGCGCAGCTCTCACACCTGGAACTGGGGGTGTGCGAGTCTGGTACCAGGGCTCAAGTGTGAAGCCAGGACACTCATTCCAAGAGTATGGAGGCCTAAAGGTGTAGTATCTGTGAGCAGTTCCTGGGACCCAGTGAATCAGGATGAGTGCTGTCAGGTGAACATTGCAAACTGAGCCGTGAAGGCTGGCACTTCATTTGTTTCTGAAATGACAGATAAATGTCATTTCTGTTCACCTTTCAGGTGGAAAGGCGTTTCCATAGGGAGATGTGAACACCTTCAGCAGTCCCTCTGATCCCAGCAAATGCTTGGTAGCTGATCTTGTGGAAGGGATGCTCAAACAGCTTGGTGTGAGGTGGCAGAGCACAGCTGTGTATGGCAGGGTTGCACACCTGCATGTCATTACTTGTCACTGCAGAGGAAGCTGGGGATAAAGCTCTCCAAGGAGGTCAGTGCTGGCTACAGCCTCAAATCTGCTTTGACTTCAGGCTTTGTGCTGATGATGGTAATGGGCTGCTGTGTTCAAGGGTGGGAGGCTGGAGTGGGGATGGTGCCACATGGGGCTGGGCACCCCCAGCAGCACCGTCCAGTCTGAGGCAGAACCATTGATGCAGAAGCACCAAGGATGCTTCTACACCGCTGTGGATGGATCCAGGCTGGAGGAGGAGGAAGGAGGCCCAAGAGCTGATCTTTTACACAATGGGGTGGATAAGGGCAAAAATGAAGGGAAACCCCTGCGACAGCAGCGGCTCAAGTGGCTGTGGAACCAGGTCAGGGCTGAGGGACAAACCCAACCTGTGCCCTGTGCAGCTGAGACGCGGGCGCTGAGCCCGACGGCTGCACAGGTGGGTGAGGCTCCGGGCTGCTGCGTGCAGGGAAACGAGACAGCGAGGGTGGGCCTGGAGGAGCCCGTGTGTCAGACATGAAAATGAGGAGAGCCGAGCATGTCGGGGCAGGAAACCTGCAGAGGAGGGGGGTCCTGAGGCACCAGCGCAGGGAAAGGAAGGAGGGGATGGCATGAACAGCAACGCTGGGCGCTTCCCCAGGCCGTGCTGTGAGGGATGCAAAGGCTGAGGCTTGGTGGTGCTCTGAGCCTGCTGGTTTAGGTCCCCTCTAGCCCGGTGGTGCCGCACACAAGGATTTGCATTGTGCCTGTTCGGGTCACCTCGTCCTGCACGGACCCGTTTCCCGTTGCTCCTAGAACAGCACTTGTGCCGTTAAACGTTTCCAGGCTCCAGGGCTCATTTGTCCTCGGTGACCTGAGCGGTGGCTCCCCCCGTGTGGGGAGCTGGCAGCAGAAGCAAAACCCCCCCCCAGGGCATGGAGGGTGAAACCAGCCCCGTGGCTGCAGCTGCAGTTCACGATTTACTCACACCCCCTCCGTGTGAACGAGATGCCCTTTAATGAAGAGGTGATAAATGGGGGTTGCTGCGTTTCCAGCAGGATCCTGGTTCATGGCCCTTGAGCCCAGTGCAATCCGCGCGGTACCAGGGTCAGAGATCAGCTGCTGCTGTGGCCGGTCCCATAGGCACAGGGGTGAGTTTAGGGCTGGGGGAGAGCAGGAGGGTTCCCTCACAGGCCCTGTCCTGCAGCCACCTCACCCCACATCAGTTCGTGCATGACCTCGAGGGGTCCGTTCCCACCCCGGGCCAGGCTTTGGGCCATTTGCATCCTATTTCCCTGCTGCTGTGGGAGTGCGGACGTGGCCTCTGTGAAGCGGCTCCTCTTGTGTCCAGCCGCCGCTTCACCCAGCGCCATGGGGGGAGAGACTGGGGCCGCTCAGACTTCACGTCCCAAAGCGCCCGGCTGTGCGGAGCGCAGGCCTTTGGGCAGCCCCTTCCTCCGGCATCGGTACCTGTCGGTCCCCACCTTGGCCTCAGCTCTCCCCTGCCGCGGCTCCCATCTCCCGCAGCACCGACGAGCAGCCATGGCCGAAGCCATGGGGCTGTGGCCGGGCGGGCCCTGCCCTCAGCAGCCCTTGGGCCCCTTCCCCTCAGCGCCCTCCTCGGGGACGGCCTCCCCCGTCAGCCGCAGGTAGGAGCTGAGGGATTCGCGCAGGCCCAGGCTCACGGGGGAGTCCTCGGGGGGGCCCGCGGTGTCCAACAGGAGGGAGCTGTGGGAGGGCGGTCACTGGGCAGCGCACAGAGCCCGGGTGCTGTCGGGGCGCGGGGCAGCCCCCCCCTCCCCGTCCCTACCTGTCCATCTTGTCCCAGGTGAATGCCGGCTTCCTCACGGCAGCGGGCACGGCGGCAGCAGGAGCCGCCCTCGCCCCGGCAGTGGAGCAGGGCTCGCCAAGGGCGCAGCACAGCCCCTCCCCGAACTCTGCAGGGAGCCGCTGCTGTCACAGGGTCACCCCCCCCATCTGCACCCCAGTGCAAGTGAGGCACCGGCCGCCCCCTCCCTCCCTGCGGGGCACGCACGGAGCCGGGCGCCGGGGCCGTACCGGAGTAGTGCTCCACGAGGCCGTGCAGGCTGGGGAAGGTGAGGCGGGGCGCGATGTAGAGCCAGCCGTTGTCCAGGCGGTGGATGCGGTAATGGGTCACGGCGGCCCAGCAGCCCCGCTCGCAGCGCCGCACCGACAGCGAGAAGCAGCCTGCGGGGCCGGGGCACGAGGCTGGGATGAAGCAGGGACCCCCTGCATTGGGGGTCATTGCCCCCCGGGGGGGGGGGCAGCAGCACCCCATGGGTGTGAGCACCCCTGTGCCAGCCCCGTGCCATGAGCACCTCCGCGATGGGCTGCGGGAGTGCCAGGACGTGGGATGACCTTGGGCCCGCCATGTTCCGCACACCCTCAGCATCAGGAGCTGGAGTTCCATGGCCAGGGTCTTCGCTGCTGGCTGTCCCCAGCCCCATGGCCCCCGCTGTGAGGCCGCACAGCACCGAGCTGGTGCCTCGGCCTCGTGACACCCATTGGGATGTCCTGTGGGGTTCCCTCAGCACCCCATTGCGATGGGGCCCTGTGTCACTGCAGGGGCTGAGCCTTTCCACCCCTCAGCTCAGCAGAGGCCGCAGGAAGCCTCCCGGTGGTTTTGGCTTCTGAGGCCCCGCGGCAGAGGCTCAGCACAAGGCAGGGAGCAGCAGCACCGGGAAACTGCAGCACGGGAGTGAGCGATGGGATGGAGGGGGATCGGCCCCAGGGGGGACGGCAGGGAGCGGGGACAGGGCCCGGGGCCGCGGGTCTCACCTCGCCTGGTCTGGCTCTCCCGTATGAGGAAGGACCCGCTGCGGTTGCCCGGCCGGAGCAACAGCTCCTCCGCCTTCTGCCTGCTGATGCCCTCGTACAGCCACCTGCAGGGCAGCGGCGCTGGCACAGCCTCTCCCGGCGCCCCAGGCCCGGAGGGGACAGCTCGGGGCACAGCAGAGCGGGTCCTGGGGACACCCCCCGAGCCCCAGCGCTGCCCCGTGGCACAGGGACAGAAACGGGGGCAGCGGCCGGGGTTTGGGCTCAGGGCTGTGGCCCGGCTCTCTGCAATGGGGCCACGACCCTTAGTGCCCGCCCTTACCTGTGCCTGATCCTGGCCACGCAGCTGCTGGGGATGTGGCATTCCTTACCGGACACCTCCGATGCCACCAGCCACCAGTCCCCATCCCTGCAGGGAAGGGGTTGAGCCATCCTGAGGGGCTGAGGCTGCAGGGAGGGGACCCCAGCACGGTGCCACCACCAGGGCCCGGTGCCTGGCTGGGAGCACTCACTGGGATCAGGGACTTACTCGGAGAGGACGCGGAGCTGCTCCCCCATCCTCAGGATGGCCCCGGGGCCGGAGGGGAAGTCGCAGAGAGCCAGGGCCTGGACGCCATCGGGGGCTGTGGGGACGGTGACGGGGCTCAGAGCTCCGCCGGTGGCACCAGGTCCCCGCAGAGGGGGGAGGAAGGGGCACATGGGGGTGCCGCAGCTGCGGGCACTCACCTGCCTGTGCGGGCAGCGGGGGCTGCGCGGTGTCGGGGGCCGCTGCGGTGATGCTGAGCGGCCTCTCCCGGCTGGGCCCGCTCCCCATCCCGTGGCTCAGCCCCCGGCCCTCGGCTGCTGCCGGCTGGGGGGGGGGGAAGAGAAGCCCCAGGCTGGACCGCGGTGCGGCCGTGTAGGGATGCTCATGGGCTGCAGGCACCAGCCCCGGGCCCCGGGGCAGGGCTTTGGGCTGGGCTGAGCCTGGTGGGCAGCTGCTAGGGGGACCCATCAAGTGCTATGAGGACTGGTGGGGACAGCAGGAGCCTGCCCAGGATGGGGCATCTACATCCCCGTCCCTGACCATGCCCACCCTCTATGTGCTGTCACCACTCTGCCCGGTGTCAGCAGGGTGTGGGGCTCCCTGTACCAGCTCCCATGGGAGCTCAGGGGCTATGGGGAACACAGCTCTGCCACTCTTGGTTCCTTGGCCATGGAGAGGGGCAGCCAAAGCTCTGTGTGACCCAAACCCTCCACTGGCTGAGACCCCAGACCTGCTGCTGCCCTCGGTTGGGGTGAGCCCCACTTACCTGGCTCTCGCTGTCACCATCCTGCAGGAGCTGTCAGGGCTGGGCTCAGCTCTCTCTGCGTGGTGGGTCCTCAGGCTCCCTGGTTGCAATTGCAGGGTCCCTCTTGCACAGTGGATCCCCCTTGTGCAGGGCAGCCCCTGCCCTTGTGGGATCCCCTTGTTCTGCCCTGGTCCCTCTGCTCTAGGGCTGGGTGCTCCCAGCAGTGCTGCGGTGTGAGGGGTGCAAGGAGCTGGAGCAGAGGCTGCGGCTGCTGCTGCTTCCTGTTACGTGCACACACACACACAGAGCGGGGCTTTCTCTTCTTCACTCACACTGCTCAGCTGCTGTGCCCCTTGGGGACTGCGGCGCACGGAAAGCTCCCCGAGGGCACTCAAGGCACCGAGGTCACCGCATGGGCTCTGGGGTGGGTAAAAGGGAGGGATGGGCGGCACGTGAGAGCAGGAGCAGACTCTAGGACTCAGAGGTTGAGGCTGGACAAGGGTCTGAAGGTGCCTCCTGGACACAGCAGTGGTTGCTCTCACAACCAAGTTCCTCCTTGCAGCATCATCTGACACCAAGGAGTTTGACTCCATCACCTTGTACCAAGGAGCACGTCCAGGTATGGGTGTGCAGCGTGGCCCAGGGCAGGAGCTGGGGCCAGTGGTGTGAAGCTGCCTCCTTGCAAGGCCTGTGGCTTTCCTGGTAACAAACAGCTCCCTCCAGCACAAGAGGTGCCGCAGCCGGAGGCAGAAACCTCAGCCCGTGGCTGCGAGAGGTGATTTTCCATCAGTGACCCCAGAGAAACCTGCAGCAGAGCCGAGCTCAGCGCGATGTGCCCCATGCTGCTGGAGACAGGGATGCACGCTGCTGCTGATGCAAAGGCTCTTGGGGTGTTAGAGGAGCTCATCCCAAGGATCTGAGCAGTTGGAAATGTGGTCCTAAGAGTATGGGAGAGCTGGAAAGTGCTGAGCACCTCTCTGGGCATCCAAATGCCAGCCAGAAGAGGTCGAGGAAGCCCTCTGTGATCTTACAGGGACCTCAGTGCTGCCCTGAAGTGTGGAAGCCCTAGCACCAATGTGGGCTGGGATCCCACCCCAGGGAAGCCTGTCCTGAGCTCAAGCTCTGCTCCTGGATTTGGCTGGCATTGCTCATGCCACCCAGAGACACCTTTTGTCCTTTACTAAATGCATTTGTCAGCTTGTATTTAGCTTTGATTTTTGTAGTTTTAACAGGAAAAGCAGTTACTTATGTGAAAGCAAATTTACTTCTCCAGTTATCCTTGGGGTAATAAAACATACAACAAAGCCCATGACAAATCTTGCCTTGCTTATGCCTGTGAACCACCATGGCAACAAAACTCTCTTCTTAATCACCTCCCTTCCAAACTGCCCAAAATCTCATCTATTTACTCTCCTGGCTTCCTTGTCCACGGGCAGCCTGCAGCTCCAAGCTCTCCTGTTCCACATCACAAACAGCACTCGTCGAGCTTGCACCAACCCCTGCAGTCATTTAATTTCCTCTACCTCATCTCATTGCCATTTTAATACTGCATTTCCCTTTCATTTGGTCTGTTGCTGTATTGTCATAAGGGAACTCGAGGAAGAATCGTTTCTCAGTGGAGTCAGCTGGCATTAGATCACAGCACTGCACCACCAGCAGCTTCCCTCCTGTGCATGTTGCTTTGCATCCAGCAGCAATGAACTTCATGTGGTATCTGGTGGCCTGGTCCCTCTGGTAGTCTCTTCTTGTATTTCTGTTCATTTAATCACTTCATCACTTCACTTGTTATTGCTCATTAACACAACTGCCTCATTTCTCCCCATTCACTTTGCTATTCACAAACCCCCTTTGTCTCACTGCCTGCAATGACCTTCCTGAAGGTCTTCCCCAAACCAAAGCACAAGGCTGTAGCACTGCACCCTATGGGCACAACAGCAAGACCTCGACTAACCCTTGAGCAGCAGCTGGCCCCTGCCAGTCCCTGCTGGCTGTGACAGCTGCGCTGACAAACCTGAAACCCCAGAGCAAAACCTGGCTCTCCAGAGCAGAAGCTGAAGAACCGGTTGTGTTAACGACCGCCTGCAGCGCCCACAGCTGGCTGGGGCACAGGGGGATGATGTGCAAACAGAGCTCGTGGCCCTCAGCCTCCTCGTGTCACAACTGCCCTGGCACAGGGCTGACAGCTTCACTTTGTGTCCTACCTGTGACACCCGCCGCTGCAGAGCTCTCTTCGTCAGGGAAGGCAGCTGCTTGTGTTCCCCTCTGTCTGGAGGCAATCCTTGGCCTGTTTTGCCTCCACTTTGTCGAAGCTGGAAGTTTCTTCTTGCATTTCTGCAGAGGGCAGCTCTCCAGGGCCCACTCCTGCAGGGCCACCTCTCCAAGCGCTGCCTCTTCCATGGGCACGAGTTTGCCTCTCACACCAGCGGCCTCAGGCTGTGCCAGGAGAAACACCACGAGCACACCGGGTAACAATGAAACTCAGTTATAGCTTTATTTAATAACTGGTACAAAGTCCCCCTCAGGCAGAGCCTCCCAGTTCCATTCCCTACCTGAAATGGAGCAGAACGTGAGCGTGACCCTCGGAGGAGCTGGCTCCCAGCGAGTCAGGCCTGCTCAACAGTTAAGAAAGGGTGTTTTGCTCATCTATTGAGCCCTGTAGTAGCCTGACCACTCTTCCCTTTTCTCCCATTAACAGCAAGACCCTGGCACGCAGCAGGCATTTGCCTCCCGCTCCTTATGACCCAGCCAGATGTAAAAAGGCAGCAGAATTGTGAATTCCAGCAGGACAGAGGTGCTCCCTGCTCATTCTTCTGACCTGGCTCACGCAAATGTGTGCCTGCTGGTCATTGACATCCACAGGTATTTCCTGAATCTCAGCTAACACCCTGTGCAGACACCCTGCCTGGGCTGGCAGCGGTGGGAAGCAGAGCTGGCAGTGCAGGAGATTCCTGGATCTGGCATGGGGCACTGCTGCCCCTTTCACAACCTACTTGATGTTGAAGATGCCAGGGCAGAATAGCAGAATAGGTGTTAACTGCATCTGACCCTAGGGGGCCAGCAGAGGTGGTCTGGAGCCAGGGCTGCTGCAGTGTAATCCCTTGTACTTGGTTAATAGTGCACCTCGGTTAGTGTAAGTTTACTTGTTAATTGCTTTGCCCTTTCAGGAGGCTCAGGTGAGAAATCAACTCTGCTCCTTCCTAACACACACACAGAGATGAGACCAAGACAGTATTTCTGACCTTTGTTTTCCCCATGGCTGCCTGGCACGCCGAGAGTCCTGGGAACACAAAGACCTCTGATGGGTTCTACACTCCAGGCACAGCTCTGCCAAAGAGGTTCACCTGCTCCAGTGCCTGGAGCTCCACATCATCATGGCCTTGCTTTCCCATGTCCCACAGATGCCGTATCAACTGCACCACAAGGGTCCTTTAGCAGAAGCACAACTAGAAAGCAATTCTAAACCTCACAAAGCCACAGAAATTATATTTAAATGAACAGGGGAGACAACGGCTGTCATCTGGATTGATACACAGCACAGACAGGAGATGGGACCAGCATGTACAGTAACGGGACTTACTAAGACTGCGGAATGTGAATGAGTTTTAAAGAGGCTCTGATGCCAAAGGCATACAGAAAGGACCAAAGTAATGCCAAGTACAGACTACCAAGGAGGTGGCAGCTCAGATGGGCATGCACAAGTTAGAACAGTTAATGCCATGTTGGTGAAATGCTAGATTCTGAGTGGGTTCAGTGGGGGAGAGTGGAGTTGTCTGAATCCAGAAGAGGGGCTCCTGCCTAACAGGATACTTCCATGGTTTGAGGTGCCTCCTGGAGGTCAATTCCTTCTGGAGTTCCAGCACTGTCTTCACCATGGTTGCTAGCGTGAGACCGGCTGCGGATGCTATCGCCAGAGCCCAGGCTAGAGGAGGAGTGGGTACGGGAGCGTATCAGCCTGGTCATGCTGGCTGCTGGCACTGCAAGAGAGAACAAGCGCAGGACTTAGAAAAGGAGGAAGTTTGTAGAGCAGTGTGACAGTCACTCAGATATGTGCCACTGGGCAAGCACGAAAAGAACTATACCCTCAGGAAGAAAACTCGCTCTTCACTGCCAAAATTAACGTCTAAAGCAACATACTTAAGGCCCAATTTCAAAAGGTCCAAGGTGAGCAAGTGCCTAAAGTGTAACTGATCATTTGCAAGTGCAGTCATGGCGAGTGTCTGTGCAGACCAAGGCAGCTGTTGTACAGATGACCTTTTGAAAGTCAGTCTCGTCACTCTAGGAAACCACAGAGCTGAGGTCATGCAACAATCAACAAAATACAAATGAAAGGTGAAACAGCAGCACACACACTGCACAACAGCCCAGCCCGCAGCAGGACATGCCGAGACACAGCAATGCACCCGAAGAATCATTCAACTCAGTACACAGACTTGGGCCGAGGCGATGCGCAGTTGAAGGTACCTGACTCAGTGCTTAGGTGGCTGAGCTGCACATAAGGGACTGGAAACAACATGAGACAAGGGAAGGGATGAATACAGGAAAGAGCCAATTAGTTGTGGTGTGTGACTAGCAGCTGCAATGCTCCTGGGACCCCCAGCTACCTTCCCTTCCACTCCCAGCTAACACTGCACTGAAAGCTCCCAGTACCTGTGGAGATAGCAGCTAATGAGCATCTCGGGGAGATGCCAAGTGACTCCAAATCCATCAGGGCCAGATCTCTTCAATGCCTTTAGCTGAAAACTGCCATGCACCTGGTGACCTCCCTGCTGCACACACCACAACTGTTCAACAGAGACATCATTTTCCTACGGTGGGGAAGCTGGGGTGTACTCTGTAACTCCAGATACGGAACAGAAATTCATGTCTTTCCTGACAGCAACAGGTTTCTGCTAAAAGCCTCCTGCAAAGTGTCACCTTCCACCCTCAGTGTCAGCCCAGGCAACTGTTTCAGCCAACGTGCAGAAGACACAAGAGTAGCTGTTGAGGAACTGACTTGTGCATTTCTAGAAACGGCAAGTTTCCAATTTGCTTCTCTCTCTTGAGAGAGGGGGCTAAGCTCAGGAGTGGCAACACAGTCTTGCCCACCAAAACTGGGAAAAAACATCTTGGGACTAGCTACTAATTCTGGAAGCACAAAATTACCCAGTGCTGCACATCCTACTTCCAAGAGATCTCAATCCCGAAGCGCTGCTGAAGTCCTTGCTCCACTGACAGCACTTATTGACTTTACTAACACCATGAACACAGGAGCATTGAAATGCTCTCTCAGTGAGGCTGAGGGAGCTTTCCCACATGGTACCCTCCTCTGCAGGACCAGGCCCTCCTGGCCAGCCTTGGAGAATATGATTGTCCTACTACATTCATGTCAGCTACACGCAGCTCTAAGGAAAAGGACAGCTTCTGCTGAGCCCTGACACCCACAAGCTGGCAAAGAACACCTGGCCATGTGGAGACCATGGGGAGTGTCACAGCTGCCTAGTGGCCATCCTTAGTGGAAATGAGCCACACAAACCAACCCCTCTCATACCTCCAGCTTTTGAAGGTTCAGCATCTGCAGAAGGGAACTCCTAGACCTGACCCCTGGCAGGCAAGGCAGAGCTGTGCCAAGGGGCCTGCAGAGGAGACAGAGGTGCTTTAGTGCACTGAGAAGCCCTTCTCCTGAAGTCTCCAGTGTCTGGAGTACCAAGAGCAGTGGAGCTGAGCTGCTGTCAGTCTGACACACTCAGGAGACATCTTTTGCCACCAAGCACTAGGAGGAAGCCATAGAGCAGGGCATGCAATGAATCAAAGCACAGCTCCCTCTGGGCTCCCGGGTGTCTCAGAAGTCACTCAGCTCTGTTCTGCCACTGGAGGGTTTCATTCTGAGATACCATTTACCCCTTGTGGGAGTCTGAAAGAAATAGGCATGTTTGAGAAGAAAGGGAAGGACTCTCATGTACCTATCACAGCTGTGAGGCTGTGCTGCCAGCTCCTCCCTTCCTGAGAAGGTATGCACAGATTTCAGGAGATTTATTGTTCTTGGGATCAGGCTTTTCTGGACTGGCACAAAGACAGACTCACGAGGTTTTACCAACAGCAGAAACTAAAAAGAAGTCACCACTCCAGCTGCAGTGTGGATTAAACACGTCAGGGATAACATTAGTTTGCTAAGGCTTGTTGGCACCCTAGTTGATTTTCCACTGTGGATGGATCTCCTGGCAACCACACTAACTGATGGGTGGGAACACAGATGCCAATGGGCTCAGATGGACCAGGAAGGCTGAGTTCCCTTCGCAACAGCCCTGCTCCAAACCAGAAAATTGTGTTTGCCACTTACTGTAGCCCATTCCCTGCACAAAGTACTTGAAGGCTTCAGTCAGCTTGCCAGGCTGTGGAAACAGAAAGTGCAGCTTTAGTGTGAGTAGAGCAAGAGGCTCTGTCAGCCCAGATGCTGAGGGAGAGCCAAGAGGTGTTTCTCACCTGAACCACCTGGGGCAGGCCCCCGCAGTCAGCCATCTGCAACAGGAAACAAAGGGAGGTTGAACTGTCCTTCCCACCCCAGAAGCACAACTCCAGACCCACCCAGCACTGCCCACCTCACCAGGGCGACGGCATGAGGCTGCACTGCCACATGAGCCACACTTGTGTCATTTGGTCTCCAAGGCTAAAACAGGGCCCAATGATGCACCTCCTGAGAGCCTGTTGCTGAAGGAACCCAGCACCTTGGAGGCCACATTACCAAGTGATCTCAGGCCGTACTCTAGGTCCAGGAGTAACCCTTGACCATCCCAGCTCCTGCCACTCTTCCCAAACCTGTCACTTTGCACTTCCATACAGCAGTGGTCTGGCACACTGCAGAGCCACAGGTGAGGATGGGAAGGACTGGAATAATGCTAGAAGTGACGCTGCTGCTGGCAGAGAGCAGGCAGGGCACTTCTGCTATCTCTCAGCAGGTCTTCCCTGCTGGCTGGAGATAACAGAGAAGCGGTCATAAAACAGGGATTCAGGGACACCCTGACAAACTCTCCCAAGTCTGGCTCCATACAGGATAAACACAGCCCTGAATGACTGTCCACAAGCTTCTTAAAGCCAAATGTATGGAAGGCAAAAACCTAAGTGGAACTGGCCCAGCAAAAGTACTGTCTTTGTGGAGCTGGAATGGATTCTGGAGCAGCACTCACCTTCAGAAAGGTAGTTTTGGTTGGGTCAAGACGTGAATTGCATTCAACCTAAAATAAAAGGAGAAAGGAAGGACATGACATCACATAGAAAACTCAAGGAGTCAGATGTAACATGTGGGGCAGCTGAACCAGAAGCAGTGGCTGTCTTCAGCAGTGAGAGGTCCTCTGGAGTCAGGAAGGACCGAGAACTTCCCCTGCCATGGCTGGGAAGTGGTGAGAATCCTCAGGGGTAGTATGGTAGCAAAGTCAAAACTTGCAGAATGTCTCAAACTTCCACACCAGACTGATGAAAAGGCAACAGGCCATGACCAGAAAAAGCCCTGCAGCAGTTCTCCATGCACAGCTCCTGGGTCCAAGCTACTGCTTTAAGGAGATTACATTCTTCCACAGTTCCTTAAGACAACTGCTTTTGGTCACAACCCCCTGGTCTCCCCACGATCACCAGCTGAAGGGGAGGAGCAACATTCACCACAACCACACTGCACTGTTCCATGTCCCATTTATAACTGTGCTGGGAGGGAAG